GTGCAGTGCTGGGAGCGCAGTGACGCTCCCGCCGCGGGTTCGGATCCTATATAGGAATGGCTGGTGTGCTCACTGGCTGAGCACGGTGTGGACGACGCCAGGCCAAGGGTTGCGATCCCCTTACCGGTCACAAAAAAAGACAAAAATAAAATAAAATAAAATAAAAAATAAAAGCCTCCAGTGACTTCCCACTTCACTTAGAGTAGAACCCGAAGTGCTCGCAACCTCCTACAATGTGTTATACCATCTGGCCACTGCTTCTCCACCTGCACCATCCCATTATGCACCTGCCATGTTGTTGTCCTTGTGGCTTGGAACAAATCAGCCACACCCTGGAATCAGAGACTTTGTACTTGCTTCCCCCTCCTCCTGGAAAAGTGGGCTCCTGGAAGAGTATGCTTTTGATTATCATCATGGCATGCACTGACTTCTTAGTGAGGTTTTTCCTGACCTCATTTCTTAAAATTGTACCCCCCTCTGCCATTCCCTATCCTCTTCACTACTCTTTTTCTCTCTCACTTATCACCACTTCCTATACTATTTATTAGGGGTTTTATTGTTTGTTTGTTTGTTTAATTTCCATTGTTTGTCTGCCCAGACTGTAAAGCAAACTACATAAGTTTAGGTATTTTATTGTGTGCATTTCTTTCTCACCAGCCCCTAGAAAAACTGTATCAAACTTCATAAATATTTGATGAGTGATTGAATGAAATTATTACTTTCAACATAGATACAACATTTAATTAATAGGTTACTTACTTTCCATCAGCAATGTTAACGGTTCTGAAGAGGGGATAGTCTTCTGGGGCAGGTTTTCCAGTGTGGTCTTCAAATAGAAAAACAGGTGATCTCCCAACCTCGACACCAATTTGCTGAATACCATGTTCATTATATATAGATAAAAGGAAAGACTGAATCCCTTTTTTGGGTTTTACTGTAAATAATATTGAAAAATCTTCTGGAAAAGTTTCACCTGAGAAGAGAAGGCCGACAGTTATAAATTCAATTTTCCAGATTGTTCCTGGATCACATAATTATTTTTGAACTTTCTATGTGTCCTTAAGTTCAAACGTTAACGGATTAATAAACAAACAGTGGTGGGGACACCTGAGAAGAGAAGGCCGACAGTTATAAATTCAATTTTCCAGATTGTTCCTGGATCACATTATTATTTTTGAACTTTCTATGTGTCCTTAAGTTCAAACGTTAACGGATTAATAAACAAACAGTGGTGGGGGTGGGTAGATTCTATTAAGTTTTCCCTGTAATATTGATCCAGGCTATATTCAAACTTTAAAGCCACTCATTTAAAGCACAATGATTATGTGAAATTGAACTCAAAACTAGGGAACAAGATCATGGTACTAGTACAATGTCAAATACAAAGCAAGCACTCTTAAAACACTTATTTAAGTACCACTTTTGGTTGTAAGGTTTGTATTTTCTGGCTTTGACTAGTCTACAATCATACTTTCTCTCCTTAAAGAGGCATTGTAATGGTACGAAAATACAAAGGTGTGCTTTCGTCATTCCTTCAAAAGCTAAACAGTTTTTGCTATCACACAATGCAGTTTTACTAATAAAAAAAAGCACTTGTCATTATAAATCAGTTCTATTAGGTACTTAGCTAACATAATTCTAAATTTAAGAAAGCCGACTTTTTTTTTTCTGCTTTTAGTGATCATATCCCATACGGCCAGCATATGGTCTGATCTACATAGGTGCTTACTAAGCATTTGTTAAATAAATAATCAGTAAAGTAATTATCACAAATATATCTCAGATAGTTAAGCAATAACTATGTTATAGTTTCATAAAACACTGCATATTAAATTGTGGGTTTCATTTTTCAAAAATGTTTTACAAATACATCTTATTTGATCCTCTCGCTATCCTGGCACATAAATTAAAGCAGGCATTATTATTTGATGGATGAGGTTACTTCAGTTCAAAGTTGTCCATTTGCAAAACTGGTGTGTATGTTCCTGTTTAATCAACAATATCTGGGCCAACATCAATAGCTTCCATATTCAATCCATTTATCCCAAGTTCTATTACAAGCAATATTATAAAAGGATAAAAGAATTATGAATATGACTGTCACAGATTCACAGTCAAAATATTATAGATTAGAAATACTACGTCTAAGAATTTGTGGGAAGAGGATGCTAATGTTTAAAGATACTATGTTGTCAATTCATGAAAGCACTATTTATAATAATAAAATGTTAAAATGGACTTCAATGATTGTGGCTAGTTAAATAAAATACAAACCATCTACATAATGGAATCCTAAGCAGCCATTTAAAAAAACGTAGTAGAAAAATATTTTAAGTGGAACTTATAAAAAATGTATTATCAAACATTTTTGTACAGTCTTCATGTCGGTGATTAACTGTGACCCATTTATCAGTCAAAAGTCCTAATGGGATTTTTTTTGTCTTGTAAATGAATTACTTCTTTCCTGGGCTACTGCTAGTTTACAAAGTACCTTGTAGAGATTAGATTAATTTGCCCCCTCTAGACAGAAGGTAGCATCTGGTACAGACTTTAATAATTGGACCATGATCGGGGTAGATGAATACTTTCACACAGGCACAAAATGTCAAACCAACACTAATCAACAGTCTTGGTTGGCTGTTTCCAGCTCGATAATATGCTTCAAAGATGTGAGGAAAAGCTAAATTAGAAGAACTGCATTGCCTGTATTTATTATCAATAAAATTATTTTTGGAGTCTTTTAAACTGGATATTTTCTTTACTAAATAGGAAGTTATAGCCATTGTGACTAAATTTTTCAAAGCATTGTTATTTCAATCTTTAAAAAAATCAAAGCAGATTATTACAAGTCTTATATTTTTAAAACTCTCAATGTTATCATAACAAAAGAAGTATATATACATATATATATATAATTTTGCTCAACTTAAGTGTCACAGAGACATACAACCAATTTACATTATATTTTATATTTATAAAAATCAATAGAAGAAAAACAATATGGAAATAAAGTGGAAAGGTAATAAAGCACACTGATTAACAAAATGCTTTATACCTGCCTATACCATAAATATAAATCTAGGAAATTCAGCCTATTATTGAAGCAGGTCCATGACAAAATACTCTTTTTTTCAGATGAGTAGCCTGGAATGTTGAGAATCATAGGAATTCTTACCCTAACTGTATCTTGATTTTTTAAAGATCTCATACGGTAAAAGAAAACAATGCTAAAATGTTATGAACTAGGGTAAAAAAATGTCTTTTCCATTTTGCAAAAAGCAGTATTTAATAAATAGAGATATTTAGAAAAGGAGGAATTTTAGACTAGTACATAATAAATAGAGATATTTAGAAAAGGAGGAATTTTAGACTAGTACATATTTTAATTAGTCATCCAATTTGTACAGCATTTTTGAAAACCTTCAACTTCTTACTATATTAATAACTAAAATCTTATATATCTGAAAGAATTTCCCAATTTAAAATTAAGCAATAAGATTTTATTATAATCTTTAAGCTATTATACTTGAAAATTAAAATTTGGCCTATCTAAAAAATCATGACTTCACCCAATTTTCTATCTAACCTAGGCACCCCACCCCAGTTTCCTTCCTATAAAAGTGCTAAAGTTGTTTGTAGCTGACTGAATTTGTCCGAATGAATTCACTATGATAGCAGTTCAACAACAGAAATGCAGCCACTTAAAATGTGAAATTCTATTTGACATAGCAGTAATCTGTATATATGGTACAGATAAAATTGGGTTTTTTTCAGCTTAAATAATCCATATTTTGAAATGTAGAAATACAAAGAATAAAGTATGTTAAATGATTGTTGTTTAAAAAATACTATTACTCTTAAGCGATAGTAATTATTAAGGTCTTCAATAGAAAGGAATTTTTGAAAATAAATAAATAAACAATACTATTATTGGGTCAATTAAGAAAAAGAAAAGGAAAAAAAGAAAAACAAATAGTGAGGAAAAGGAAAAGGGAGGAAAAGACAGAGACAGGAAAGGGAGGGGGAAGAAGGTGCTGGGGAAAGGACGGGAGACCAATTTAAAGTTAACAAAGTTACAGTTAGATAGGAAGAATAGATTCCGGTGTTCTAGGGTGACAACAGCTAATAATATTGTACTGTATATTTCAAAATAGCCAGAAAGAAGGATAATGAATGTTATAACCACAAAGAAATGATAAATGTTTAGCTGACAGATATTCTAACTATTCTGATCAAATCATTATACAATATATGCATGTATTAAACCAACAAATTGTACCCCACAAACATGTACAATGAAAAAAAACACACCTTTTCTGTGTCTATACATAAAATCACATGTATGTGTGATAACAGTCATCGAGATTCACTCTGAGTATAACAGATTCAATAGTGGTTCTTAAAATGGTCTTTTCTATTGCATCGTTGAATATATCTGATATGAAAAAGTCACATAACTTTGATTTTAACTTTTTGATTGTGTTCAATATTTTTTCATGGAGAACATATCTCCCTTTAACTGAAATCCCTGCTTAGTGGTGAGCAGTGTTTTTTAACTGAGGAGGGGAGACCAATTTGCATAGTAGGAAGAGTCTACTTTGGTGTAAGAGAGACCAGGACTGTCTCCCCACTTTACACCATTCACTGGTTCTGTGATTATAAGCAAATACTTCACATTTCTAATTCCAGTTTGCATAGTAGGAAGAGTCTACTTTGGTGTAAGAGAGACCAGGACTGTCTCCCCACTTTACGCCATTCACTGGTTCTGTGATTATAAGCAAATACTTCACATTTCTAATTCCAGATTCACAAATTGAGTTTAAATATTCCCCTCCCCAGATGATTATGAAGACACAGGCCAATACATGTAAAGGTTCTGGCAATGTCTGTCCCATGGCAGGTGTTCTAAAGAGGGCAGATAGAATTTGCAAATTACAGATTTATTCAGTTCCCATGCACATTTTCAGAGTTTTAAATTATAGGTCTCAAACTGGGGCTTTCAAAGACATATATATTAATTCCCCTAGAATATTTTAATGACTGTATACAACTGACAATCCCTTATCCCACCCAGGTGATGAATACTGAAGTTTCCAATACTACTGATTACTTTATTCATTAGAAAAGAGGTTGCTTTTATGTCTTCCTATCACAGAAAAAAGGACATTCCAAATCTATTTTTCAAAGATCTTTTTTAGTTATTTTACAAACAATAATACTCACTGTTTAGATATTTTTAATGGTGATCTTATCCTTACTAATACGTACTAATTGCCATTTTGCACCATTGATAGGAAGCTGTGCTCTCCAGGAAGGTAAGCTTGTAATTAGTAGCATGGGAAAAAATGAGGTATCTTTCATAGTTGTCTCTTCTTATCTGAAATACTCTTTATTAGAAACATGGGCCGGCCCCGTGGCTCACTCGGGAGAGTGTGGCACTGGTAGTGCCTAGGCCCTGGGTTCGGATCCTATATAAGGATGGCCGGTGTGCTCACTGGCTGAGCATGGTGCAGACCACGCCATGCCATGGGTTGTGATCCCCTTACCGACCAAAAAAAAAAAAAAGAGAGAGAGAGAGAGAAAGAAAAAGAAACATAAGCCTAAGACACAATACCAGGGTCAGGGGTAAGGAGTCTGGAGGGGAGGAGGGGACTTGGATACAGATGAATTCTGTTAACTTGTTAACTGGAGTGGAAAGAGATCCTAGAGGCATACATCGTATTCTTTCTCCAAGAGTAAAACAATAGAAATCACTAAATTAATCAAATTAACTTTCACATTGGAATGCAGAATAAACTGACTCAGAGGATGAGCCAAAGTATAAAAAATTATAAACTGTAACTTTTTCTAAAGCTTTTCTATTAGTCTATTTTTCTTTGTTTTTTCTCTCTTAGAATCCCCATCCCCTTTCCTATTAGGGATGCATTACGAAATGCATCAGACAGCCCACAAATAGAAAAGCAACTTACAGTTTTACTATTTAAAATGGTAAAATTTAATTTAAATATATTTTGTGGATTTAATAACTTTCATTTTTTTTATTTTTAAAGTCAGAAAAATTGTACATTATATTATTTATATTTAGTTTGCTGTTTTTGTCCACCATGAATTACTGCAAAACAAAAAATATATTGAAAGAAACAATGAATAGTCAAAATAAATGGGTTTTCAGAATACTTTAAAAGTCCCTTCCATGAAAAATGTACTGTGTTGTTTTATAATTTTTTAATCCCTTGATTTATATCTTTTCTATTGTTAAAAAACAGTTTTATATAAAAATAGGAAACTCAAGCCCCTTCAGGTAAAGTATAAGGCAAGGAGAAAAATTTAAATGATACATTGCTGTTGAGAAGATCCCAAATCATCAAAATGGAATACTTGATAATATATAAAATATTGGCCTCGAAACAGCCCAGACCAGTGTTAAATATTGACCCCCACACAATTTGGTCAAAACAGAGAGCTTCTATGAAAATCAGTTTTCTCCTGTGTTAAAAGAATGTGGACACCAACTTGAACTTGTAAGGATAAATAATTGACATGTATCAGTTGCAGACAGGTACATGTAATGAGTTTTCTGCTTATAAAATGTGACGTTCAGAAATTGTCATTTCATCACTCAACTACCTCTCCCCACATTATCATTTTTTCTAGATAATTAGTCTTATTAGGCCAATTAGTCCTTTCATGGAAAGAATGAAAATATTCACCAAGAATTTTTCATTACCATTATGAAAACCTGCCAGATGAAGTCTTACAAAATCTCTAGTCCCGGAATTCCCAATAAATATGAGACGTGACTTTTACTATATTTCAGATAAGAAGAGCTTGCAAAAATAATGTGAAATTAACATCTATGAAAGAAGTGTTTCTTTCAACAGAAACATTTACATCATTTTAAGAAAACATTCATGAAGTCTGTCTAAATCTACATGCTGATTTAAGGGTGAAATTTACCTCCAAACACTCACAACAAGTAAATTCAACACGATTACATACAAAATTAGGCTATACATAAAATGTTGTCTTCATATTTTGTCATGTTGAAATAAAATAATAATAATTAAATGTTCAAATGAGCATATTTTCTGTGACTGTGCTAAATTATGATGGGCAAAAATTATTAAACTATTATACTGTTATTGTCATTACACCACTTTGGTGACCACAATGTATTTGGTGTCTGACATATGAAATAATTATATTTCAGTCTATAACTGAACATTACATAACATGATAATAATTTGCAAAGAAATAGTATTAGTAGCAACAATAGCAGTAATAATAATAATGATGAGATAAGTGAACATACCTGAAAATAACTGTTTTGTTGGGGCACTGAGTTGTGCTTGTTTTGAAACTCTGTAAGCAGTATCAGAATCTTTAGAATTCTTTCTGTTTGTGCAAAATCCCGTTGTTTTTGATATTCCCTCTGGAGAATTATGGAAATCTAGTGCTTTTAGTACATCAACTGGAGCAGCTAAAAAATAAGTAAAAAATAGTAACTGAACACACATTCCAATATAAAAAAGAGTATTTTTAACACAGGAAATATTATGGCAACCCATTTTTCAAATCTATTTATCACTTGCCATTGTTCCCTAACAAGGGTGGGAGTTTGTGGACTAGGGCAGCAGGTAATTATATAAATCATAACAACATTCTCAAATGAAAAATATCTCAAATCTGGAATCAAATTATGGGGAAGCAAAACAGAAGATATGTGTGGTGTGTATTTGAAATTTAATATAGCCTATATACGAATTTAGAAACATTCAGATGTATCTCAATTGCAATTTATAAAATCTTCAGTAATTCCAAATAATAACATTATTTTGAATTAAAATGAAAGCCAACATCTGTAGATATCCCAATGTTTTTTTAATAGAGATACTATTCAACAATTTATATCTTGAACAAAAGTGATTCTGAAGATTCAAATTTACAATGAATATTATATGTAAATATTATAAAATGTGCAGTTACTAAGCCATATTGCATACACAAAGAGAAGTTAAAAGAAAGATGTTAAAAATAATAGCACAATACAATGCCTTGTTTTGCATGTTTTCTTATGTTAGTTATTCACAAAATATGGTATAATATGTGTGTGAAGGTTTATATATCTGTGTACATGTGCATGTATATATGTATCTATCTATAATTTGCTGATTTTTACCCTCTAAATATTCCAGAGTTACTTCATAGACATTGCTTCATGCCTCACAGTATAGATTGAATGTCCCTGGAAACAAGCAATTGTGTCTTCTCCCCCATCCTCCCACCCCGCTTCTATGCAGCTGTAGTATCTAACACAGAGCTATTTTGGGGAAGAAGCACATTTCCCAAACCCAGTTCACTACAGCTACCTCCAGCCACTGTGAAGTGGTCAATATAAAATAAGTTTGGAAACTTAAACTTTTCCTTTGTAAGTGTGGCCTATTTGGATAAACAGTTTTATCGGTATATAATTCATATCCCATACAATTCAACCATTTAAAAGTTTACAATTTAATCGGTTTTGGTATGTTTTACTATTAATTTTTTAAATTGTTGTAAAATATATATAACAGAATATTTGCCATTTTAAGCCTTGTTAAGTGTACAATTCAATAGCATTAATTACACTCACAACGTTGTGCAACTGTCACTACTATCTATTGCTGAAATGTTTTCATCACTCCAAGCAGAAACTTTATAACCATTGTGCAAATAACTCGCATCTCCTTACCCCCTCCTAGCCCCTGGAAACCTCTAATCTACTTTCTGTCTCTGTGAAGTTGCCTAATCTATAAATTTCGTGTAAGTGGAATCATACAATATTCCCCAAAGCACTGAACACAGAAGTACCATATGACCCAGCAATTCCGCTCCTAGGTATATACCCAAAAGACCTGAAAGCCAGGACTTGAGCAAATAGTTGTATGCCAATGTTCACTACAGCATTAGTCACAATTCCAAAAAGTGGAAACAATCTAAGTTTCCTTAAACAAATGAATGGATTAACAAAATGAGGTAAATATGATGGAATATTATTCAGCTATAAAAAGCAATGAAGTCCTGATACATGCCACAGCATAGGTGAACCTTTAAAACATTATGCCATATGAAATAAGCCAGACCAAAAAGGACAAACATGGTTTATTTTTAGACCCTCAAATTCTGTACTCCACAGCTACATATCTATTTAATTCAGTAAGCAAGTCAAAACATGAATCATGATGTAAGCGTTGTTATGAAAACAGACTTTAGAATCTATATTACTCAATACGCTTATATCTTATTGGTTTTCGATAGGTATTCAAAAAGAAAACTCAGAGCAGGTCCCATGCTGGCCAATGTGTCACTCAGCATGCCTGAGATATAGTCCTTACTTCATGTATTTAGATTCTAATTGAGGAGGCACTATATATATCCCAACATCTATGTAAGAGGAAGTATCTAATTTATATAGGTGCAAACGGCACTATTTTGTTCAGAAGGAAAAAGACCACTTCTGGCTGAAAGTGAGAACTAATATTGATTTGAAAAGTTTAAGTTGTAATTAATCAAATAGAATTGCCATCAAATTTTAGAATATGTTGTGTTTTATTTTAGAATCAGGAAACATGGCCACAATTTCTCAAACTCCACAAAGTAGAAGGTGACCTGCAGCAGGGTTTTGCTCCTTGAGAATTACAATTTCAACAAATATTTAATTATAGTAACTACCAGTCTGTTATAGAATATACGAATGATTGATTGAATGAGGGTTTGTGAACAGTGTACATCTGATCATTTCCTTAGTTTATTAAATTTTAGGGGTATTGACTTCTATATCTACAAATATTTATACATGAAGCTTTTTGTTACGTGCCTTGCACAGTGTAATGAATGTACTTTGCTTTGAATAATAATAATAATAATAAAGCCCCTGTCTACCTGTTTCATCAAGCTTCTGAATGAAAACTAACATACTATCCAGTAGAATGTACATCATTCCAAATTATTAAAAAGAAAAAAAAACTTTGAGAAAATCAGACATTTCTAAGGGATCATTAGCTCTATCAAATATGGTAGTCTTTAGTTCAAACTTGGAATATTTTCAAAAATCATTATTGTATTCGAGAACATATTTTTTGTGCTAGTCCTGCTTGCAAAATAGCCATGTTTTAGGTCAGTAAGATATCTGACCATTCACACTGTTTTCTTTTATCTTATAACTAAGAAAATAACAATTATAATATTGTCATGTCCAGAAAGCCTAATACATGCCAGTCACTGGGCTAAGTTCTTTACAGGCATTAAGCCTCACAAACCATATGCTCTTATCCCCACTATGTAGATGAGGGAACTAAGAATCGGAGAGCAAACTAAGGATACTTGTGAGGCCTGTGTAAATATCAAGTCTGCGTTCTTTCCACTTTACCACCCTCACTGCTATACCCCGCAAATAAAAACTCTGCAAAAAGAAATTTAAAACACATCTCATGTAGTCATATTTCATTGAGCCAGTTAATTGATTCCTGATGTTCATATTTGTTTTAAATTAAACTCAATTCATGTTTCACGTTATAAATTACTCTGAAGGAGAATGTTTCTGAAAGCTACAGCACCTTATCTGTTCATATTATCTTATTTTCTTGTTCTGAAGCCATTCTCAAAAGTTGAGCTGAATACAGACTCCAGTATAAACATGAACACAGCTATGAAGGTTGTAGTTATTCTGTAAAGAAAAGAATGCAGCACCACGGTCATGGTCACAACTGGGCATAGGTAGACAGCACATAAAATGGACCACGATTTTCCTTCACTCCGAAGTATCTTTTAACACAATGACCATTTCCAGGAGCACAGACTTTGGCACGTTTGTTCCTTTCTACTTTGAAACTAATGTGATAAAAACACACTCTCTCTACAGGATTCAACATGAGGGCTCTATTGTTTTTTAAAGTCTGACAAAGTTCTTCATAGAAACACGTGATATGAAATAATTCACTTCTAAAAAAACAGTAAAAAAAAAGAGGAACATACAATAAAGATTTCAACTACGCTTTTTTTTTCCTAAAAAGGCATTTCAAGTTACAAAAAAGTAAAACACAATCAAGTCTTAAAGGTACCTTTTTCTTTGAAGTGAACTAAGTAATAAATTAAGACACAGAAGTTCTGCCTGTTATTTGATCCCATAATCCTCATAATCATAGCACACACATATATGAAGTTTGTGAACTTCATAAAGTTTGCGAATAGAATTAAAAATTTCCATGAACTTTTTCAAGTACCTTCGTATGTGGGAAAACTATTCTTCATATTTTGTTAACTGAACTGCAACTGTTTAAAGATTAAAACAGTAATTAATTAAGGCTAAATACAGTACATTTAAAAATTGAAATTTCCGGGGCCAGCCCGGTGGCGCACTGGATAGCGCGCCGCTTGGGAAGCGTGGCGGCACTCCCGCCCGAGGGTTCGGATCCCACATACGGACCGGTTCCCGCTCACTGGCTGAGCGAGGCACGGGGGCAGCACCGAGGGTTGCAGTCCCGTTGCCGGTCCCCGGTCCGGTATGGGGGCAACACTGAGGGTTGCGATCCGTTGCCGGACACGGAAAAAAACAAAAAGACAAAAAAAAAAAAATAATAATAATAATAATTGAAATTTCCATATTCAGAGTAATTCTTAAATGCCCTTAATATTTTAAGCGTTTCTATATTGACAACTGGTGGTACAGACCATGAGTAAGCATTTCAGACGTATCCAATTCAATACAAGATTTTGTTCAATAATCTTGTTTCTATTCCTTTCATTGCATACCTACATGCTTATTAAATGGGAGAATAAGCTATCAGAGCCCAATACACTACAGTACTACAATAGCAACTTAACTGGCTTCCATGCCTTTTACCATCAATCTGCATACCTCAGCTTGTTTGAGTTTCCAAAATTTCATGTCTCATGTCACTTTGCTGCTTACAAATTCCTTCTGAGAACCCCACTGTCTTCCAGATGTTATCCACATTCCTTGCATATAAAATCTTGATGATCTGGACATACCCACTAATCCTCCCAGTTCTATCCCCACCACATGTTCATTCCTGTCTCTCACCACCCACTAATTCCTTTCTCACTCAGTGCCCTAGCCATGATGAACTCAGATTTCCCAGAACCCAACATGTACTTTCGCCTGGCTTTGAACCTTTATAAATCCTACTCCCTCTGTCTGAAACACTTAGCTCCACCTCACCTGAGGATTAAGTAGGATATAACTGATATGCTGTCTCCTCCAGAAAGCACTCCTTATCTCCCAGAGCTGAATTAGATGTGGTAATCTTTATATAGCACCTTTCACACTTGGTTTTAATTATTTACCTATACTTGGCTTTTTTTCCCCCACACACTAGGACTATGTAAAATGTTGGCTGAATGTGAAACACAACAGTGGGAAAATATATGAAAACAACTTTCTCTGAGGTCCATAGGGCTCTCTAGTGTTGAAAGAAAAAT